TTTTTTTTTTAGATAACCCTCCAGTAGATGTACAGCCAGAAATTCCATACTCACGGTTTCGTCGAAATAAGTATGCTCATAAAGAATTTCAATTATGTAACATATGTTAAATAAAATATCTTTGAAATTAATCAAAATACTTTCATTTTTAAACAAAAAAACTTTGTAATTATCCTACCCTTGTTATATATATTCATCTCATTATTTTGTCGATTTACTGAAGTTTCACTTCTATCGTGTGTGAATCGCACACACACCTTTTTTTTTTCGATTCTTTATTAAGGCGGTATTCTTGTCTAGAAATTTAAAAAATTCGAATTTTTTTTTTGCATATTTCCAAATTTTAGACCCTTAAAAATATGTCCTTGAGTGGATTTTTCAAAATTCGAATTATTTTCGGAGATACAGTGGATTTTATAATGCAGCTTCTTCTGCTTCTGCTTCTTCAATAGAGGGCAGAACAGCTCGATTAGCAGAAAGAACTTCGCAAAACATCGAGTAGGAAGTAGAAGAAGGCTCAATTTACGGATCTGGGATTCGCGATTAATCCAAAGTGAATATTAAATATTATTATGAGTTATTTTACTGAAATTTTTTCTCAAACTTTAAACGCGATTTTCTCGAAACTACTTTTTTTAAAGTGGTTGACATGATATCTTAAGTTCGCGTCTGCTATGGATTTCAAAAAATTTCATTTTGGAGTATTTTTAAAAAATTCGAAAAGGTCAAAAAAAAGGGGTAAAAAAAATTGATATTTTATGTCGACGCCATTTTGTGAATTTTTTTTTTTTTTTTTTGACTATAGTCAACGCGATAGCGACATTCTTTACAGATTGAGAATTTCTCAAATTTTTTTGTTTCATATCACTACAAGGGCTGGAATCATGTCAACCAGAGTGCACCATTTTTTTTGTAGCCCCCACTTCACCGCCCTGTAATTTGTCAAATTTATCATTTTTTTTTTTTTAATTTTTTTTTATATTCTTGAAATGTCAATAAACATCATATAAAAAAACGGATTATAAAAATGTTTTTCATTTTTTTTTTATGTTAGTTTGAAAAATGCCTAAAATTTAGGCTTCTAGACCAGAATACCCCCTTAATTCACGGTAGTTTCACCGTATAAGATTCGTTTTTATTGTGCGATTTATCAGTCAGCATCGGATACCATTGTGAAAGACGTCTACTATAAATTTATCAAATATATACGGTGATTTCACGATGCAAACATTAGTTATGCACCTCCAAGTAATAGAGAAGTGAGTAATAAACGTCTACTGTTTTAAGACAGTTGATGTACCGACTGTGAGTGCAGAAAAGATGAATGTACGCAAGTGAATCTACGACATCATGACCGACGATAAAAATAGCTTAAATAAATTTTTATTTCTTCCGTAAATTCAAAATAACAATCGTAATTAATGATTCAAATTTTTGATAATTATAAAAATCTTGATTTTGAAATTACGGTGAAATTATTAATTTATAAAAAAGTTCTAGAAACGAAAATGCTTAAAATTTAATTAAAAAAAAAAAATATCTCATAATAATTTTCCTTGATAACAAACAATTTTGCTGTAATTTTGAAATTAAAATTTTTGTCTAATAAAAAACTCAAATCCTTAATAATGGATCCGAATTTGTAGAATTACAGTGAAAATATTAGAGGTATAGAAAATATGTTAAAAGTTGAGTTGAAAATGAATTATAATTTATTAACTAATGAATTGTTGAAAAAAAATATTTCCCGATTAAAAAAAACAATAGTTATTATTACATTTGTCATAAACAAAAAGTATTATGGTTCTTCATTTAAAACTATGAAAAAAATTCAACACTTGCTGTAGGTCATAAACTCTTCTGAAAAGTATTGAAATGATATATGGATCTCTGTTGATTGCATATAATCTGATTAATTTTTTTATGATTTTACTTAGAAATAAACAAAATTACAATAATTTAATTTTTTTTTTAATTTTTCATCCCGAGTATTTACTAAAAATTCTCATTTGCCTATCTTTTTATATACTTTGAGAATTTTTAATAAAATAAAAAAAAAATATAGTCAGCACTTACCTACTCATCGTTGACTTGTAAAAATTTCTAACTTACCGACATTATACGCTCGTTTCACTTACAGACCACTGTGCATCTACCACCGAGTTACGGTTTTTTGACAATTTATATATTTTCGAATGACAGACGATCGATTGATGATCTACGATTTTTGAATAGGTAAAAAATCGGGGTAACCAACTAAAAATTTGGTTTTTCGACAAGTAAAGTATAATAACTATACAGAATAAAAATCATAAAGTAACAGTGAAAAATTTTCACAACGATACTCGTCAGGCACTGTCAAACGACGGTCGTTCGATAGTCAAGCGACGATCTTTTATCAACACTGTGAATTTACGGTGCATTTACCGTCGTTTGACGATCATTTTATCGTGACCACAAATCCACCAGAGAACTTTTATTCATATTATCAGTTATTATTCATAATTAATTATAAAAATGAGTTATTTTCATATTTCAATCAAATAAATAAAAAAATTAATAAAGTTAATTTCTCTGCAAAGTGAAAAAAGCGTATGCGAAAAAATTTGTTTTTATTTCTGCATTGACAAAACCCTGATTCAAAAGTATTATAGAAATAACGAAATTTTATTTCTTTTTAATACTTTCAATACTTATATTACAAGAAAGTGAAATCAGCTATTGGAAAAAAGATAGAATTAATAGTGAGTACAAAGAGGTATGGGCAAGAACGAGATGTGGAAATCTGTGGAGAAGCGGAAAAAAAGGGCAAAAGAATTGGGAATGCAGAATATGCAAGAAAGAGGAGGAGACACTGATGCATTTATTAAGCTGTTCAGAGATAATGGAAAAAATAAGTGAAAAAGGGAAACAAGCAAGATACAAGTGGATGGAAGAACTAGAGGGGGAATTAACAAGAGAAAGATTAGTGATAATTTTAAAAGGGGAAATAAATAGGGAGCTGTGTATATATGTTAGAGAAATGGAAAAATTATTTAAGGAAATTGAGTAGTATTACAATATTGAATGTCAGAAAAAGGCTGTCATTAATATACAGGGATGGATACTAGAAATAAGTATAAAATAGTATTAATAGTATTGTAATGCGACTGTGATATGAAGGATGAGGTGGGTGAAAAGTTAAAAGAGAGTAAAAGCAGTTGATTTTTAAGCCAAAAATAGTGTATATGCAAATGTAAATAAATAATTTAAGATACAGTTTTGTAAAACGCAATATGTGATACAAATAAAAACGATATTCTATTCTACTTTCAATACTTTTGAATTCCTTCTTCTGTGTAAAATAAACATTGTCGGTCATTTTGAATTTTTTTTTCTAATCAGGAAAATTACATTATTAATAATTCTATTAAAATATTTAACAAAAAGAATAATTCTTAATAATTTTATTTCAGTAAAGTAATCTGGAAAATTCAAAAGTACTTTGTGCAAGATTTTGATTAATTGCTTCCATGAGTTTTCTTCATAATTTCATGTAAAATATTAGATTCTTTAATTAAAGTAGGATTTTTGGATATTGTTAAACAATTGTACTCATTAAAACTGTCTAACGGTTTCCATTCAACATTAATCAACTCTGACGTCTCTGAATTTGGATTTCCAGTTTTAGCAAAATTAGTCCACAGTTCAAGGAATTGTTGTCGGATGACATGTTCAGTTGTTCCTGGAACTATTTGTTTAATTCCAGCTTCTTCTAGTAATTTTGAACGAAACAAATAGATGAGATCTTCAGCGTGACATGTACCTAGAATAATCATTGATATTAATTAACTTAAAATAACTATAATTAATAATGATACTAATTTTAAATAATCCTACCTTCTACATCAATGTCTAACAATTTCTGCATTGCGGCAGTTTCTTTCGAGTAGTAATCAAATTTATATAAATATGTTGGAGCATCATGTTGAGCTTCAAGTGCATGATGTATGTTAATCAAAATCAAAGTCGCACTAAATAAATCAGCAACAAGAGGAGCATTTTCACGGCTAATTTTTTTGTCACCAAGGAAGAATTTTTTTACGTCGCCAGCAGATATTTTTCGCTCTTGCAAGAAATTTTTCATATGCTCGTGCAAAAGCAAAGTATTTAAGTTATCTTCTATTTTAGAATAATCGTCGTCTTTCATGACTAAAAAAAAAATCATTAGTGTGGTAACAAATAAAGATTTATGCTTTTCTAAAAAATAAAAAATGGTGTGTGTACTTATGTACACGCATCAGAAGTTATACATCTTTGGCATAAAAAAAAAAAAAAAAATTAAGAAATAAAAATGCAAAAATGATCGAAGAAAAATATTAAAAACAATCAAAAAAGTTTACTTACAGTAAAAATTTAGCTATACTGTATAAATATAAAATCATTAATTATTATATGAATTTAATTTGATATTATTTAAGATTTTTCTGAATCAACTAATTTTGTAGTTGCAAAGTATCAATAGTTTACAATTGATAATTATGAAATTTTTTAATTATTTATTTAAAATATATGTTTCTTATAAAATAGTTCATTGTTTATTTTTTAACCTAGTCATAATATCTTTTTTAATTAATATTTTTTCAAAAATAATATTAATTACATGAATTAAAAGACTTACAAATATTGTAGTACAAAACTAGATTTTGTTTCCAATAAAATTCCGGAAAATTATTAAAGTGGTCTATAATATAAATTTAAAAAAATATGGATAGAATTACTAGATTCAATAAACAAAATGATTAAGTCTGTATTAAAAAATTATGAACTCAATAAAAAGATACCTAAATATAATAAGTACTGCAATATTTATATTTTAGTTCAAATATTTCAATTCATGAAATTATTATTATTTTTGAAAAAATATTAATTAAAAAGAAATTATTACCAAGTTAAATAAAAACTAAAATATTTAATTGACTATTTTTTAGAATTGATTATTAATATGAATAATATATTCCATATTAAATGGTATTTCTATCGAATTTGAAAATAACAACGTTTCGTTGGATACTTTGCAACTAGCCTGTATATGAGTTAACTTAGTTAGTAAAAGAAATATATATTTTAATTAGATTTGATATGGCCAAATTCATCATGTCGCTTTTTTGGGACATCATACGCGCACAGCTCACAAATTTCACACTCATCCAAACGCCCCAAAAGAAGTATAACTTCAAAAATTTGCTCGTTTTAGCTTACGTGATAAAATGAAGATCCCTTCCTGACTTGTGTAACCAATCATATGAGGAAGTTTGATACCAGACTTGGCAGCTTCGTGAACTGGAATAGTCAAAAATGGAGTTTTCGACTTTAGATCAACTGACGGTACGAAAGGATTTTCAAACATAAGAGCTTCCTATGGCAAAAATTAAGATTTTATATAGAATGTGAAAAAAAATAAATCATTAATATATAATCAGGTAAATTCTAAATATAATGAAGACCTTCATAGACTTAATCTCATGTTCGGCTTTAGCTAACTCGATTACATCGACGGTTCGTAAATACTTGATAAGTTCTTGAGTATCAGTTGTTTTATTCCCTAGAACTGATGATATTTTAACTGCTGCTTCTTTTGGTGAATGTATTGTAAACGCCCATGGATTAGTTGCAACGCCGCTTTGTATAATCGACTTATGAAACAATCCTGAAAGAACAAATTTATCAAACTTACAATGTGAAGAATATTAAAAAGTTAAAAAACCAATTAACAAGAAAATAAAACTAGTTTAAACAAAACCTCGAGCTAAAGGAGAAAGATTCAGATAATGAACAGAAGCTCCTCCAGCGCTTTCCCCAAATATGGTGACATTGTTCGGATCACCACCAAATTGTGCAATATTTTGTTGCACCCATTTCAAAGCCATCACTTGATCTTTCAAACCTTGATTGCCTGATGCTTCTTCGTCATCCAAATTAAGAAAACCTTGAATCACATATTATGTTTTATTGAAACTATAATTGCTTTTTATGTAAATTTCAAAAAAAATTACCTAGAATTCCAAGGCGATAATTTATCGTAACTAGAACAATATCTTTTTCAATAAGATAGTCGGGGCCGAAAAAATCATCATCACCAGCTCCACAGAAAAATGCGCCTCCATGTATCCACACCATAACAGGTTTACAATTTAGATTTGTTGTAAAAACGTTCAAATAAAGACAATCTTCAGCTCCCATTACTTTTCGAGTAAAGAGATCTACTTGCGCACATTTACTGGCATATGTTTTGGCTTCTCTGATACCAGACCATGGTTCAGCTGCTTCCGGATCCTTCAAGTAAAATTTTAAAATAAGTTATACATTATAAATTCATATTACATAATATATATATATATATATATATACAATATGCAATATATAATATTGAGATACTTTTACATTATATTGTATAATTTTAAGACAAAATAAATCAATTATCGAAAAGTACCTCGTTAAATACTTAAAATAAATTTTTTAATTTTTAAATTAAAAAAAAAAGCAAAGTTTAGTCTTCAAAAATTTATTTTTGAACATAATGTACTTTGAAATCATTCTTTAAGAATTAAAAACTAATAAACCTTAAATCTTCTCTCTCCGACAGGAGGTTTAGCGTACGGAATTCCACGGAAGGCAAAAAACTCTTTTCCGTTTACATTTTTTTCTTTTACTCCACACAATTTACCCTGTTGCACTTCGAGAATTAAAGTATCCATGGTCAATAAATATTTTTTTAACGAGTGAATTTATTCTTCAGTATACCAAGCAATACTAAATTCGAATTATCAGCTTAGTATGATATAATAAGGGATATTCTGACATAAAGCGTTTAACTGTATTGTTAATGTTCATGTATACTCTATCATTAATACACTCATAATTCGTTTATCTCTGTAATTATTCTTTGAAACTTATAATGATGTTGCTTTTATCTAAACTTGACTGAATAGTAGAAAAAAATTCAGCTACAAAAAACACAAACGATAAAATTGAGTACAATAAAGTTGAGTACAATATTTTATTTCAAATAATAAAATATTGACAAACGTAAAAGTGTAATCAACTTTATATACTATATAGCTAAACTTAACAGATGATATCTTGCAAGTTAATAACATAGAGTGTATTTACCAACATTTTTTATTTTAGTGCATGCAGTTTTATTTATTTATTGCCCATGGTTGAACAAAAAAAGAATAAAATAAAACATTTTAAATTTCGTTTGTTTCTTTAATTTACATTTATTTTGTTACTGTGCACATTTATGATTGATTAAATAAAAACGCTTGCATTCAATTAAAAGCACTGGTGATCATGGTCATAAAATATAAATAATATTAAAAGAGTATATGTATAATTAATCATATTCACTACTACCCATTTTATTTAACTCAGTAATATCTAATTTATTTTTTCCAATCAATAATTTTGCTTCTTATACTCAACCATAATAAATTTTATTTATTTCATTAATGAACCAATTTATAATTTCAATGAATATAACAATTTTAATATATTGACAAAAGATTATTTACTTTATTAAATAATTAAATTGGTTGTTTTTTTTTTGTTTTTTTTTTATTAATTAAAGATTAAGTATAGAATAATAATAGCATTAATATCGTAGGCTGTTCAACTTTCATTACGGTAACGAAACAAAAAAATTAATTAGATCTATCATTCTTAGCATAATTAAAAAAATTGATTTAATTTTTTAAATATTCGCAAAAAAGATAACGAACAAAACAAAATAATAATTACGGATATATCCATTCTTCAAATTCTTAATCATAATCATTAATTCATCGAAAAAACCCTTAAAAGAGAAAACTTAATTTTTAAAGGATTTCTTAATTTCCCGGAAATGTTCAGACATGTTTTTGTTTAAAAAACATAATTTAGATTCGCACGAACATATTAATAATAAAAAAAAAAAAAAACAGCCAAATCAATCCAGCCATGATCAAGTTATGCTCTTACCAACGAACATTTCATTTTTATTATATGAAATAAGCAAACGTTTATTTTTTAATTCGTTTCTTTTAATATCAAAAGACATTAATTAATCAAAATACATATATGTATACTTTAAAAACACCGTTCTAAAATACCCTACATGGATAGGTAGATTTCTTAGTTGAATATAGAAAAGAAATAAGATCTGTAATAATCTAATAACATTTGAATATGTTATTTGAATACATATAGCCCAAATACATTTATTGAAAAATATTTTCAAATTTTCCAACTCACGAAATAAATTAAAAAAATGAGCAGACAATAGCTTAAATTAAAGATAATCGTAGAAACTTTAAGATAAATTTATCAGATTTGAGTTTTACAACTGAAAAATTATTTTGAGAAAAATTAGTAATTCAAGTTCCTGATTCAGAAAGATGATTTAAAATGATTACCTTCATGTTAATTGTATATCTATATAGTATTTAAATCATTTCAAATTCGATTTCTCAATCAGAGGTGCTCCAGCGCAACTATTAAAGCGCTAAATTCAAATTTTTTTTTAAATCAAAAAAATTTTGAAACGCTCACTAATTATAAGCTAGTCGACCGAATTTATTCATCTACGATCTTAATCAAGGTATTCGACCATAGAATAAGTATACGAAATTTCATTAAGATCGATTGGAAATTATGGGCCAAATCCTCCTAAGATTGTACCTAAAATAATCTACCATCATATTTACGATGGTTAATAATACCCTTAAATATTTAAGATTGTTTTAGCATAGTCTAAAATAATTGAGAATGCATTAAAACATTTTTAGATAATCAAAAAAAAAAAATTATGAAAATAAAACGAATAAAAAGATCTTTTTGATAAAAATATTTGTTTACAAAGCAAATACCTTCAAAATTGGTGCCAATTAATTTTTGAAGAACAGCAGTGTCTTTAGAAAAATATTCAAACTTATACACATATGATTGTACATTTGAAATCGATAGTTGAGTCTCTAAAGTATGTTGTATATTGATGAGAAAATCAACAGCGCTCATTAAATCAACATATAAGTTGACATTCTCGCTGGAAATTTTATTATTACCTATGTAGAAATTTTTAATATCTTTCACAGATATATTTCGTTTCTGCAGAAATCTTTTAATATTTGGATGAAGCAATAACTCTTCTTGATTATTCTCCACTTCAGCATAGATTTTTTCATTCATATCTAAATAAAATTATACTTTCAAATATGAATCAAATAAATTAATTAAATAACTTGGTTATTAGGGGTAACAGAATTTCACCTGGAAGAATAATAATTCCTTCATGACTTGTATAACCAATTATATGAGGCACTTGAATTCCAAACTTAGCAGCTTCTTCTACTGGAATATTAAGAAATGGATTTTTTGATTTTGAATCTATTGACGGTACGAAAGGATTTTCCAGTAAATGAAGTTTCTGTGGTAGATAATACGTTACGTAAACGAGCATTAAATACTGGAACCTTACAATTAAATAAGATAAGTTAAAAAAAAAAACAAGTCATGTCGATAATTACATACATTCCAAGGCCTAACTGTACGCTCTGCTTCAACTAGACGAGTCGCGTCGACAGTTCGTAAGTATTCGATAAGTTCTTTATTGTCAGTCATTTTCTTTCCCAGTAGCGAAGATATCTTTACTGCAGTTTCAACTCCAGAATATGGCGCACTTCCCCATGGATTAGTAGCCACGCCGCTTTGTATTATAGCTTTGTGAAATAACCCTGAAAAGCAAAAATTTTTTTAAATTTTTTATTTAAATTAGTTTTTCTTCTTTGTAACCTATTGCATTGCATAATCAATTATCTTTGTATTTAAATTTTGTAATTTATATATTTATTTTTTATGTATTATTCTAATTCTATGTACAGGCGCTTTGCACCTCTGTAGATTAGCCGGAATTAAAATATAGTATAACTAAAAAAAATAAAAATATCTTAAACTTGTTTCAAACCTTTCGCTAAAGGTGATAGTGTTAAATAATGCACTGAAACCGCCCCAGCACTGTCTCCGAAAATCGTAACATTATTCACGTCACCACCAAATTTATCAATATTTTGTTGTACCCATCTCAATGCCATGACCTGATCCTTCAATGCCTGATTTCCAGCAGCTGTTTCATCATCTAAGTTGAGAAAACCTACAAATAATGTATTTAATATATATATTTCAAATTTAGTGACAACTTATTCCAAAGCTGTGCAAATTTACCTAGTATACCAAGTCGATAATTAATTGTAACTAGGACGATATTTTTTTCCATCAAATAATCTGGTCCGTGCATGTCATCATTACCAGAACCCATGATCCAAGCACCACCATGGATCCATACTATTACAGATTTTGATGCCATTGGATTTAAAGTGTTTGTATAGATATTTAAGAAAAGACAATCTTCGCTTCCTATTACTTTCTGTGATGCATTATCATATTGTAATGCTATATTTCCAAATTTCTTAGCATCTCTCACTCCAGTCCAAGATTCTGGTGGTTCTGGATCCTATTGTTTTAATTATCTTAGTGAGTATTAATCAAACTACAACTAAAAAAAGTAAAAAATACAAACCTTGAATCTTAATTCTCCAATCGGCGACTTCGTGTACGGGATCCCCCGAAACGCATAAAATTCTTTGCCATATATAGTTTTTTCTTTGACTCCACACAACTTACCTTGTCGCACTTGCACAAGCGTACTCATGATTGCCTATTGCATGAGTTAGCGACTCAACTTCGCGACTAACGCTGCAATACTAAAATGCACTTAAAACCACTAACATTATCAGTTATTTTCGCTTATCTAAAACATGTTATTAATATTCTATTAGCAAGGTCAAGGTGTTTGTGATTCTTGAAACTATCTCTTTCTTCATGTTGCTTATTAATATAATTATAAATTTAAATAGCGCGCGCCTTGATTTTATCTTATGATAAATCGTATCCCGTTTCTTTCGAGTTTCGACTATTGACTAACTTCAAACTCTCATGTATTTTTATTTTCTGCCCTCCGGCCGGAAAGTGGCAACTTTCTGGCCGCTGCGCTAAACAAAGTTGCTACATTCCGGCTACGTCGAGCAGAAAAATAGTATACACACCTTGGCCAGTAAAAAGTAAAGCCTCAGACCACATGTTTGTCAACCTCGGCTTCGCCTCGGCCAACAATTACATGTGGTCTGAGACTTTTCTTATTTTACTGGCCTAGGTATGTAATATACTATTTAGGAACTATTTTTATCATTGTCTCTATTTCTTCCGTTATCTCCCTACACATTGGGTCTATTCAGTCGAACTAAATTCAGAGTAAACTTAGTAAGAATTAGTATCGTCAAAGCATTTTTTATTATACTTATTTTTACTACCAAAGGTTACTCAGGACTTAGTTCGGCCGAACAGATCCATTTTTGCGACTATAGTGTACCCTGGTTAAAAAAACTATTGAGACAAAGAAAAAATTATGGAAAATTATTGGTTTCCTAGTCAATCCAATACTTTTTTCTTTGTCTCAATATTACTTTTTTTTATTCAGAGAAGTATAATATTAATGTTATATTATAAGAAGAATAATTTCATTGATCTATAAATTTATAGATTCAAATAATGATAACAAAGACATTGACATGTTTCAAAAGTATTTCTTTGTCGATTTAAGGGGGTATTCTGGTCTAGAAGCATTAAATTTCAGGTAATTTTTAAAGTGCCGTAAAAAAAAGGCAATCAATATTTTTACTATCCATTTTTTTGTAAGTTATTTATTAACATTATAAGAATACAGAAAAAAATTAAAAAATAAAAAAAGTTGAAAATTCAAAAAATTAGCATTTGATGAAGTGGGGGTGTCTCAAAAAATTGGCACGTGACGATACCCATGATTCCAACCCTCCTAGCAATCGGAAACAAAAAAATAAAAAAGATTAGTAATCTAGAGTAATGTCGCTATGGTCGGAACTACGGAAAAGTTTAAAAAAAATTTTTTCACAAAATGGCGACTGCCTAAAAAAAAAAAAAATTTTTTACCACTTTTTTTGACTTTTTCGAATTTTTTTAAAAATAGTAAAAATTGAAATTTGGGGATGACCGTAGTTCCGACCATAGCGACATTACTCTAGATTACTAATCTTTTTTATTTTTTTGTTTCCGATTGCTAGGAGGGTTGGAATTGTGGGTATCGTCACGTGCCAATTTTTTGAGGCACCCCCACTTCATCAGCTGCTAATTTTTTGAATTTTCAGTTTTTTTCATTTTTTTCTGTATTCTTATAATGTTAATAAATAACTTACAAAAAAATGGATAGTAAAAACATTGCTTGCCTTTTTTTACGACACTTTAAAAATTACCTGAAATTTCATGCTTCTAGACCAGAATACCCCCTTAAATTAATAACCGGACAATCGGATAGAATTAATGTCATCAGAAGCAAATAAATATAAGATCAGTTGAAGAAGAAATATTATAGTTAATGGTAAGAGACGGCTTGTGAGATATTTATTACATCTAAAAGCTGTTAAAACTATTAAAACCAATTGTAAATCGAATGAAATTGTCAAAATTCGTTGCAACGTACGGAATAATTAAATGGAGAAAAAAAAGTTGATGAGGCCACCTTCGTCGTATCGAAAAGAAAGTCATAGGAATTTTATTATGAAACGATAGATTTAAATTGAAGAATTATTGGAATCAAGTACCATTTTGGTTGATATACAATGTGAGTTATTCGACACCAGTAAAAAAATAATTGCCATGCATCCAGTTGAAAAACATGGATTAAAACAGGTCTTATACCCGACGATCGAGCTCTTAAGTTTTATTGGCGTACAACCAAAGCATTATATAGCATTATAGCATTAAATTATGACATAATAAATTTTGTCCTTGAGAAATTTTACTAGATAAATTATGTCATGATGAGAAATTATTGTTTGAGAAAAAAGGGGTGGTCGCCAAAAGTTTACTATAGTTGTTAATGCTTAAGGTAGTTGTAGCGTGAAAGCCATTTCAACAGAAAATTATGAAATTTTTTTTATTGAAAGATTAATATATAAATAATTCACTACCAAAATTTCAGATCAATTGACCGCACCGTTTTTGAGTAATTAATTTTCGAAATTGCATCTTTTACACGTAGAGGTATAGAGAGATGGTAAAGTTAGTATGAAATCTTCCGTACCACTCGAGTGGGCCAAAGATTTCATACTAACTTTACCATCTCTCTATATTCCATTTATAATCATGTATGATTATATATAATCTTGCATGGCTGTGTATAGCTCCATATATAGTTATGTATAATTATATATGATTATATATAACCTCTTATACAATTCCATATATAATCATGTATAATTATATATAATTATATATGGGACTATGTACAATCTTGCATAGCTGATGTATATTGCTCCATATATAGTCATATATAATATATATGATTATATATGACCTCATATACAGTTCCATATATAATCATGTATGATTATATATAATCTTGCATGGCTGTGTATAGCTCCATATATAGTTATGTATAATTATATATGATTATATATAATTTTATATAATTATATATGTGATTCCATATATAATTATATATAATCATATATGATTATATACAATTATATATAATTATATAGAAAAATTTTTTCTCGGGTAGTATATGAAACTATATATAACTGTAGGGTCTGGAAAACAATTTTTAACCCGTCAGCACTCACATGAACTTTTCGGTAATCTTTACTCTCGTGATGAGAGATTTGCTCACGTTTAAGGTAGTTGTAGCGTGAAAGCCATTTCAACAGAAAATTATGAAATTTTTTTTATTGAAAGATTAATATATAAATAATTCACTACCAAAATTTCAGATCAATTTACCGCACTGTTTTTGAGTAATTAATTTTTGAAATTGCATTTTTTACACGTAGAGGTATAGAGAGATGGTAAAGTTAGTATGAAATCTTCCGTACCACTCGAGTGGGCCAAAGATTTCATACTAACTTTACCATCTCTCTATACCTCTACGTGTAAAAAATGCAATTTCAAAAATTAATTACTCAAAAACAGTGCGGTAAATTGATCTGAAATTTTGGTAGTGAATTATTTATATATTTATCTTTCGATAAAAAAAATTTCATAACTTTCTGTTGAAATGGCTTTCACGCTACAACTACCTTAACTATAGTTAGTAATTGAAAAAGTTTCAAATAATTTGTTATTTACATAGAACGCTCTTTGACTATAGCTTGGTTCAATTAGATTTTATTAAAAAATTTTAACCTGTTTTATTTTATGCCTTTGACTAAAATTACTCTTAACAGCCGAGATCAGTGATTGCAGTTTCAATCGGCTTAGCGAAACGAATAGAAATTTTGAAAAAAACGTTTTTAGAGAAAATAGATAATTTAATAAACTATTTCACCACAAAAAATTTTTTTCAAAAATTTCATTTTTTTTAGTGAAACCAATCGAAACTGCAATTGCTCTGCTGTTGGGAGTGCGACAGAGATAGTTCCGTTGAACTCCGTGAGAGCAAAGCGAGAAAAAGATGGTCTCGCCTGTTAAACATTTTTAATTTCAAATACTTATCTGTTCTTTTGTAGATTTCGTATTTTTGGACATGATTATTTTGGGTAGAGTTTGTGGCTCCCGCGCAAACCTTTATCCGAGCATGCGCGGACGTGTAATATAAATATAGAAGGATTCTTCTGTATAGTCAGACTACTTATAAGCTCTTGACAAATCTTGTACCAAAAACTAAAAGTGGACTATATTATCTCCAAAGAATGTCTATAAGAAAACAATGCAAGGTATACTAACCCAATTATTCGAAAGTTTACTATAGTAGTTAATACATATAACTATAGTTAGTTATTTAAAAAATTTCAAATAATTTGTTATTCATATAGAACGTTCTTTGACTTTAGCTTGGTTCAACTAGATTTCATTAATCCTTCAGTACATTATGAAAATTTTACTGACGCAATAATACATATTCAACTGTATTCAACTTATAGGATGTCGCTGCAGTGCAAGTGAGACACTAAAAAGAACGTGGGTACTGAACGGTTAAAAATTTTAACCTGTTTTATTTTATGCTTTTAACTAAAATTACTGTTAAATATTTTTAATTTCAAATATCTGTTCTTTCGTAGATTTCGTATTTTCGAACATAATTATTTTGGGTAGAGTTTCTGAAAATGAGAGGAAACGTGTGTAATATAAATTTAGAGGGATTCTTCTGTATTTACTGGACTTAAACACCTTAGACTGCATAGACAAAGGGCCTATATAACCATTCTGAGTATCTATCTAGAGTCTTAGGTTGAAATTATTAAATTATTGAGTAAGTTATTAAATAATTTAACGTTATTATATAATTTAACACATTAAAAAATGTTTCGTCATTGTGTAAACAGTAAAAATTTTTGTGTAACATATCACACTCTAATGTGTAAAATTTTACATTCTCATGTGTTAATTTGACACACTGGCACGTGGTATTAACGTTAGTTTGTGTAAAAACAGTCAGTAACACAAATGGACGTTCTAATTAGTAAATTGTCTAACTCCATTTTAGAAAATCTTTTATTTGTACGAAAAAAACAACTAGTTCAAAATTTATTATCACTTTAAAAAACCATTTAATATCATTAATATCTAATAGAGATATAATATTTAGGTTTGAATCATTCAAATAATTTATAATTGGATTATAGCTACATCAAAATGTTAAAAAATCACCCTCTAAAAAATAAGGAGTTAGACAAATTGTTAATTAGACCGTCGAAATATTTGTGTTAAATTTGACGAAAATGTTTTTACTGTGTAGTTTGATAATTCTAGACAAAAATTT